AGTAGCTTGGTTTAATCCTCTCCAAGATGAATCTGTTTGTTTTCCTGGCAGTCCATGGTACATTCAGTACCCTTCTCCAGCACCACAGCTCAAAAGCAACCACCCTCCTTCTGTCCTCCCTAGTCATTGTCCAGCTCTCTGATGCATAACAAGCGATTGCAAAAACCATGGCCTGTATCAGGCACACCTTAGTCTCCCGAGAGACACCGGTAACCTTAACACTGAGTTTTACTCCAGACCTGACCCTGAACCCAGTGCCAGTGACAAAAAGGAAATACAACTGTCAGCTAAGGAAGCAAAGGAGAATGGAGCCTCTGGGTTCAACCAGCCATCCCCACTGGACCCACCTGGGAAAACACTTTGCAGTCCAGAGGGGAGCAAATGTCAGTAAAATATCTTCTAACAGAACAAGAAGGCAATCAGCTTTAACCCAAGACCACCAGTAAGGTGATAAAGTGTCCTCCCTTTCCCCCTTTACATCAACGCCCCTGTTCAGCATGAAGAAGCCAGAGAGTCTGCATCCAGTTCCCAAATCAATAAGAAAGTTGGTTTAATCACCGTTGGAATATGCTTACCATTCCCCTGTAGCATATGGTCCCCACTGGATCTTTTTCATTTCCTTCACCTGCTCCCCCCACCAACCAAATTGTGCAGCTCTGCAACTGCACCCCTGCAATTTTCATCCCTGCCCATCCTCACCCTTCTGCCCCAACCCTCAACTCCTTGTACCCCAATATGTTATTCCCAATTAAAAAAAAAGTTCAATGAGAAAAAAAAAAGAAGAAGCCAGGTCTATTTTGTTTCTTTATCAAAAGATATTATTTGCCAATGAATGAATGGAAATCCAAAACCTCTGTAAATGTCTATTAAAATTAATAATAAAAAATCATTTAAAATTAAAAAAAAGATATTATTTGCACTGGACCCTTACAAGGGTTCAGCCCCTTTCTCTGTCTCTGCTCCCAGGTCTTTAAGAGTGCTGGACTGACCTGAGAAGAGGTATACAGCAAGGACAGGGCCTAGCCTGAACTGGGCAGAAACAAAGCCTTGGGAGACAGGCTGTGTGGGAGGCAGCACATGTGTGCAGCCTTGATGAAGGTGGGCTGGGATGGAGGAGGTGACAGGCGCACGCCATCCTGAAAGAAGCAAAGGGAAGGAAGGAGAGGAGAAGCTGAGATCCAGGGCTGACTCTCAGGAGGCTCAGCTGAGGCACAGCCCAGCCAGTCCCTGATCCTTGGGCCCCAGCGGCTGGCTGTCCACTGACCTCTCAGGGGGCCCACACCAGTGGGCCAGGATCCAAACCTTGGACTCTAGGCCACCAGGACAATGCTGTTGATTGGAGTGACTGGGGGATTGGATTGGACTGGGCTGGGGGAGGGAAAGGGAGTAGGCCAGGATTGCCTCCTGAGATGGCTCCAGGGAATTCACGGAAGGCAATGTAGGACATAGAGTCCAGCCCCTAAACTATGCCCTCCACTCCAGATCATCACTCCCTCAGGACTCTACCCTTCTGCCCCAACAACCACCTCCACAGTGGGCTTCTGTACTCCCCTCCCACCTGGTACCCTTGGTTTCTGACTCCTGGTCTCCCGGGTTAGACTGTGAGTTCCCAGAGGACAAGCAACCTGGGTGTCAAGGATAGTTTTTAAACAAAATTCAGTACAAGGACTAGGCTGTTCATGAACAGAGACTCAGAGGCAGGCCTTTGATTTCTAGCCAGACTTTAGAAGGAGTCTGAGGGAGGGAAGAGAAGGGAAGACTATGATAGACAAAGGATGGTTAGTAAGAGGCCTTCTTGATGGGCAGGAAGGGGCAGAACAAGGTAGACTCTTCAGGAAAGAAATCTTGGCCCACCATATAATGCTTCTGGTGGCCTCATATACCTGTCCATCTGCCCTTATAAAATTCATGTCCTGCTCACAGGGGCCTCCTAGGCACACGTAACCACGCACCCGCCCACAACAC